GAAAGCATTACTACTCTGTGATCTCGAGCTAGAATTAAGGCTTCAAAGTTTTTTGTATTTGTTGAAAGCCCATCTAATATAAGAAGAACTTTTTTGTTCTGGATTTTCTGTAAGAGGTTTAAGACAAAGTGAGCTTACAAAATGACTTATCCACAAAGTAAATAAATCTTTATTTATCCAAAACATCCAAAAACATCTAAAATTTAAGTAAAAGATATTTTTTGGGTTGTAAAAATAACTAGATACAACAAAAGTATAATTTAGGCGCCGGTACAATATCGGCAACCTTACCCTACAGCTTTTTTAACATTATCAGATGTAAATGTGCAATACTGAAACTTACACTTGGTACATTTAAAATTGTGAGAAAATCCACTTCGTTTGTCTGTAACAACAATACAATCTGTAACAACAATACAACTTTTACATTCTGGACAACTGCCAATATTATTAATAACTTTTTTTTAAATAGAGAAGTTTATCTTAATATTTTAATTTTCTGCATTACTTTTATAACCAACTTTTGTTAAAGAAACTTTGCTGTCGTTAACTGAAACATGCTCAACATTTTCGTCTTTTAGGGTAGGTGTTTTGTTCCACTGGTTACCACGAAATACTCTTTTTCTTTTTAAACTTATTCTTTTTTTGCTTCATATTATATATTTAATATTCTAATATTTTAAAATATATAGTATAAAACTGATAAATTATACTAAATAATATAAATAACACAAGGTTTTTCAAACACAACAATAAATTATCACAAGATAAATTACACTTGCATTATAACAATATTATAATAACTAATCCCCCTATACAGGGGGCACATGGGGTGTTACAAGTTTTATTTAAACATTAGTCGACAATGAGAATTAGGCAATAGTTTGAATGTATTGATGGAGAAAATAAAAATTTTCCAGATAACTTTAATTTTTGTTTTCTAAGGTATATATAATAAATGAATTCGCTGTATTCATAAGAACTTTAAATTGATTCACGTTATATATATTACGCAAGAATTGCATCATAAAAAAGTAAAAAGTATTATTTTAAAATATTTAAAGAAATATTATTAATACTTTGAGGTACCAATTCAAAAATAATAAGAATGATGGTTTTGAGAGAATTAAAATTTAAAATGACGAACATATTTCAAATTTTCAACCGTATTACACAATACGCTTTACAATGTACAAAATACATATTATAAAGTTTTAAAAAAAAATTGCCTTCTAAAAAAAAAAAATTTTCGTAGATCTAGTTATAATTGATAAATTAGTTGTTTTTTGTTGTTTTTTTTGTTGATTTTTTTTACTATTATTATCTATTTTTTATTTTTTTATTATCATTATTATTTTTTTTATTGTCGTTTTTTTATATTTGATTTAACAATTAAATGCTTTTAAAAGCATTATTTTTGTAAACCTTTTTTATATCTTTTTTTTTTTTTTAGGATTGAATTTGATGAAAGTTTCTTTAATCATTTTGCAAATACAGTAGTGGTCAAAAAATTAAACACGTCAAAAAATTTAACTTCAATTTTGCAGTTTAAAATGTATATTGAATAAATGCGATACGAAATGTAAAATAAATGAAGAAATTAGTTTAAAATTATCAGAAATTGTTAATATTCAGTAAATTAATAGTTATAGCACCAAATTATTGCAAAAATAGAGTTTAAATGACTCGAATGTTATATTTTAATACCTAGTCGAATGTTCCTTAAAATCAAGCACTGCTTGTATTTTTCTTGGTATACTGTGAACTAATGTTTTATAAATTTCTGGTATGATTTTATTAATCTAAACCTCTTTTAAAATTTTTTGGAGATGTTTTTCAAATTTTTGCTCTGCGGCAATTTTCTGCTTCATAATATTCCTGCAGTTCTCTATAGCATTAAGAACGAGGGCTAATTGGAAAATAATTCAATATTATTATTAGTGAACTACTCCTTTACTATAGCTGAATCTTGGTCCTGAATCTTGCTGAAATATGCAGGTTTTGGTAATTTCTATATGCAGTTTCACTTTCATTTTCAACACATCTATCTACTTTTGTGCATTGACGTGCAAGCCACATTGACTTTGTGTTGTGATTGCTCCCCAAACCATAGCTAAAAGAGAATGTTTGACTATTTTTATGGTATACTTTGGATTCAGGCGCTTCCACATATCTTCTAATAAAATTAGTGCATCTAATTTGTTAAAACGTACTTTGGTCTGTAAACATTACTCGTTGCCACCATTCCGGTGTCTTGTCTTTCAAACTTACAAAATTAATCCTAGGTTGCAATTGTGCTTGAGTTAACAAAGGTTTTTTAACTGATCTTCTTGCAATTAAACTAAAGTCATAACACAACCTTCTCTAAATTTTTTTCGAACTTATACCTCTTTCCATAGCAAGTTGTGATGATCTTGCAGATATTGTGTGCAGCTCACTATAAACAATTATATTTAAATATCTGCGCCATTAAGATACATGGTTTCTACAACAATTTTTGCGATTTGTTGAGTTTTGCACACGTAAAGTAATTTTTACGGGATCTTGATATCTTTAATTGTTTTGATATACGTCTTTAAGAGAGTTTTGATATACGTCTTTGAAAAGAGAGCATGTATTTTAACTTGAACATAGTTAATAATATCATACCTTTCTACCCATGATATCTCTCCTTTGGCAACCTAACCGTTTAAAATAATTCAAAATAGCTTCAAAAATCTAAACGAAATTTAAAAAAAAATTGTTTCCAAGGTTATTACCTTAATAACTCCTGGAATCAATAATAAGTTGATAATTTTAAAAATCGTATCCTGCCTTTGTTTTACGGACACTAATGTACCTACATACACACAAACAGACATACACATATACATACATAAATACACATATACATACATAAATACATATATACATACATACATACATACATACATACATACATACATACATACATACATACATACATACATACATACATACCTACATACATACATACATACATACATACATACATACATACATACATACATACATACATACATACATACATACATACATAAAAACGATCTAAAAAGATCTAACGAACTAAAAACGATCTAACGAACTAAAAGGTCTAAATTTTTTGTAATTTTTTTTTATAGGGGTCCCAAGAGGATCTAACGATCTTACCACAGAACACCGCGGAAAAGCATTTAACTAGGAAGATCACGCCTCCTTCTATAACGAAGACACAAAATATGCCATGAGCTCGTTTCAAATCTTGGATCTTTTGCTTCTGAAGCAAGCTCTCTAAACCACTTTAGCCACGGCTGCAACATAAAAACACAAAAATAAAAACTCTAACTTTTTCAAAACAATCAGCATTGACCAATGGTTACCAAGACCGATGCTGATGCATCAGTGCACCCTTAATATATATATATATATATATATATATATATATATATATATATATATATATATATATATATATATATATATATATATATATATATATATACATATATATATATATATATATATATATATATATATATATACATATATATATATATACATATATATAAATATGTATATATATATTTATATATATATATATATATATATATATATATATATATATATATATATATATATATATATATATATATATATATATATATATATATATATATATATATATATATATATATATATATATATATATAAAATTGAAAATACATCATATACGGTGACATACTATTTATTTAACTATTACTTTAAATGTGGTATTTCGGCTGATATAGTTGGAGCCATTTTCAAACTAATACGTTGCAAAAAAATTCGTTATTTACAAAAATTATGTCATTGCTGTGTAATATTATAAAAAATTTTCTTAAATTTAACAAAAAATGGTTTCCAATGGTGAGTCGTCACTAGGTTGCCATTATCTCGGTTTAGAATTTTATTTTTTAGATAGCAACATTGCAGTCTGTTTTTTTTTCAATTGCCTTCCTGATTTTTTTCGTATAATTATTTGGGATATATATATAGAAAAGTTTTTTTCTACATACCGCAATAATGCAATAACGAATGTACTAGTAAAACCGCAGTCTTGTATATCACCATATATTGCAATAGGAATATTTAAAGGTTTTCTTGCAAGAGCTTATAATTTATGCACTAGTGATAATATAGAAAAAGAAATCGAACAAAAAGTCGTCAACAAATTAACACAAATAATACCATAATACTTCCGTGGGTTCCTAAATTAAACCTTATTCTTAGACGTGAGTTTCGAAAAGTTGGCATAAAAACAGTTTTGAATGATCTTTATCGAACATATTATGCCAATATAAATCAAAGCTACTACCAAACAGCTACCCAGGTGTTTACCAACTTGAATGTACATGTGGGGCTTTTTATGTGGGTGAAACCAGAAAAAAGATAAAAACACGAATAGAGCTGAACATTAAAAAAACGTGACTAAAGCGAACTGGAAAGAAAAATCAGTGAGGCAATTGAAATAGACAGATTGCAATGTTGCCATCTAAAAAATAAAATTCTAAACCGAGATAATGGCAACCTAGTGACGACTCACCATTGGAAACCATTTTTTGTTAAATTTAAGAAAAACTTTCATATTATTACGCAGCAATGACATCTTTTTTGTAAATAACGTATTTTTTTTGTAACGTATTAGTTTGAAAATGGCTACAACTATATGAGCCGAAATATCACATTTAAAATTAAAAAAAATTTTAATAGTTAAATAAATAGAATGTCACCGTATATGATGTATTTTCAATTTTATATATAAATTTCATCATACTATTAAGATGTCATTAAAATATTATAATATATATATATATATATATATATATATATATATATATATATATATATATATATATATATATATAAAGTTATATACTTCAAATAGTTATATTCTGTTTTTTTTTAGCTAGAATCAAAAAATATAATATTGTTAAACATTAAAAAAAAAAATTCTTTGGATATAAAGGCTGGCTTTTTGAAAAATTTTATTTTATTTGTTACAGAAATTGAGAAAAGCAGTTTTACAATAGATAAATAATAAATATAGTGATTGCCAAGAAGTCGAAGGAATTATTTTCACAGAAAGTTGATGAAATTCATTTCACAGAAAGTTTAAGGAATTCATTTTACAGAAATTTCAAGGAATTTGTTTCACAGAAAGAAATCAATAGATTACAAAGATCAAAAATCGAAAAAAATAAAGATAAAAAAAAAATTTAAAGAAACTTACAAAACTTGATTTTGGTTTTTCGTCTGCTACCATTCATAAAATAAATTTGATAAATAAATTGTTATTTTTGATGTATGGAAATAAAAGGTTAATTGGGTTCTTATTGCATTTGTAATATTTAGAATTTTATGTTGTCATTTGGTCAAAGCGCAGCACATACATAAAAACGATTTTTTTGCGTTGAGTGTATTTTTCAGCTTTTTGCTTGTTGTGTGCTTAAGTAAAAATATTTTGTTGTGTGCTTAAGTAAAAATATTTTGTTGTGTGCTTAAGTAAAAATATTTTGTAAGACTTCAGATCATTATTTATTAAAATTTTTTTTGTTGTAAAAAACGATTTTTATTATCATTTTGTAAAATAAACTTGAAAGTAATGATAACTAAAGTAAACAATTCACACGAGATTATCTCAACATATGTTCCTAGCTTCTCACACCAACATATTTATAAGGAGTTAGAAATGCTCCGAGCAGCAACAATTGTGATGTCATTTATTGTTATCTTATTTGGTACAATTGGAAATAGTTTGGTAATACTTTTTTTTCTATTAAAACGGTCGAAATTAAAATCATTTGAAATGTTTATGATAAGCCTTGGACTAACAGACTTAATAAATTCAGTTGTGGTACCGACCCATTGTTTACTTGAACTGTTTAATTTTAATTTCTACTACATTGGAAATAACGGTTGCAAAGTTTTGTCGTTTTTAAGCATAACTTGTATGACAGTTGCTCCTTTGACTTTAACGGTTGTCTCAGTTAACCGATTTATTGCAGTAAAATGGCCGTTGAAAACTCGTTTCTATCAAAATCGATTTATACTATTGATTATTGTATGCACATGGTTTTTTGCCTCTGGATTGGGAAGTGTTTATTTGATTGATGGAAATATATGTTTGGTTTCATATAATATTACATTAAAAAACAGTACACACAACAATGTTTTTAAATGTTATACGTGCATGGAACAAAATAAATACATTGTCTTTGTTTTAACCATGTTTGTAATGCAAACTGGAATTCCATTAATAGTAATGATCATATTGTACGCTCTGATTGTAATAGAATTAAGAAAAAACTTTACATTATTAATGACAACAAGAAATACTTTAAAAACTTGCCTAATGAAAAATAAAAAAACTACAAAATTGGTTATTACTGTTGTCCTCGTGTTCTCAATCTGTTTTTTTCCCGTCAACATATTTTATTTGTGGTATATGTTCAGCCACTTTACACCGTCAGAAAAAATTGAAATTTCATATGATATTTTAACAATGTTGCAAATGTGTAACAGCATTGCAAATCCTATAATTTACGGCAGGTTTCATACTACTTTTCGGAAACATGTAGTCAGACTAATTTTACCGTGCATCAACCATAAAAAAATAAAAACGAAAAAAGATAAAAAGCATTGCAAAAAATTTGATAAAAAAATAACATAATCTTTATGGAATATGAAGAAAAATTTTGATTTTCGTAGTACTAAAAATAACCCAACCCAAGTTAAGTACAATCATGCAAAATGACGCACGATGATGGACCATGGTCTTTTTATGGAGAAAAAAACTATATGATGATAAATAAATAACAAAATCGAATAAAAAAAATAATTTTTGATATCCTTGCGATTCTTTCTATTTAATTTGGTCTATTACTATTTGTGGATTACGTTAGTGTATTGCAATTGGTTTACATTGATGTGATTATGGTGACTTATTAAAAAGCTAAACTTCACTTCAAAGTTCATAAGTTCATATGTTTAAGACTTAAAGTTTCTATAAGAATAAGTAGTAAAATATTATTTGCTATTTTTCTAAATACGCTTTCATTTATATATACAAATATATATATACATATACAAATATATTATACATATACAAATATATTATACATATACAAATATATTATACATATACAAATATATTATACATATACATACATACATATATATATATATATATATATATATATATATATATATATATATATATATATATATATATATATATATATATATATATATATATATATATATATATATAAAATTCCGGTATCTAAATAAAAATTTCAAACTATCACAACAAATGTTTTAACTTTTTCCAAAACACTGCCCGGTGCGAAACCAGCTATTGACCAGTTAGTGGTAATTGTATGAACAAAGACGGCAATTTGACCACGAGGATTGTTAGCTACATAAGCTAGCAAATAGCTAGCGACAACTCGTAACGATAAAGTCAGCGATTAGGCCACGAGGATCGTTAGCTACTATACACTATATTATTACATATTATTATCTTATTTAAATACTATAGTTGCAGACTACTTTGTAAACCAACTATACCAATCGCAGTTATGATGACCTTTTTTTTATCAAGGAACCAGTCGGTACTTTTAAAGATTCACCCCTTTTCATTTTATTCGTAGAATTGCCTCTGCGTTTCCTTAAACAATTGATGCACTGGAAAATAAATCTAGATGGAGTGACAAAACATTTTCATCAAAGCTAAATTTTTATTATTATTAACTAGAGAAAGAATTTTAGTGTATCTTTAGCCTGTGCTTTACATGTGTTCTCTCTAACAAACGAGCTCAGTAAGTTTCAAAAAAAAGTTCAGATTTACATTAAGTAAAACATTGAAATAAAGTTCTGTTAATTATTTTAATTGCAAAGAAAGTTTTTATGAAACTTAAAAAAGAAGAAGAAATGTTTAAGAAACTTTTATACCAGCAGAAAAAAAAATAGTTAAAAAAGATGGTGTTTTTATCTATAAAAGAACAGTGCAACGAAAAAAATGCCGTAAAATATACTTTTAGAAATAAAGGATATAACAGTTGATCAATTTATATCTCTCTTCTTGATGTACTGATATTGAATATAAATACAAGGTTTTCAAATAAGATTTGCAATGCCTTCAAATCTATTCTTTAATGTAAAAAGTATTATTACACTGAATCATTATTATTGTTATTGTTGTTGTTATTATTGTTACTATTATTATTATTGTTGTTATTATTGTTATTATTGTTATTATTATTATTTTTATTATTATTTATAAGGTTTACGAAGTTTTGTCTCAGAAATATAACATTAAGTCAAGATGTTACCTTTTCTTTACTCAATTAGAACTTGTCTTTTACAAAATTATAATAACAATTAATACTAAATCATATGCCTCAAACATTACCATTACAACCCACTAAACATATTTATAGTTTCACCCTAACCATATGAACACATTAGCAATTACATCAAAACTGTACAAACATATTAACAACAATTATCAAATATAAACGCACTTAAATTACAAACCACTTGACGTCATGGAACACTGTAACATTTTACCTAATATAATTACACTCCTTCTTGACCTATAAGGGTCATATAAACGTTAATCAATAAATTTTTTCGGCATGCATTGCTCTCGAGCACGTTTTTGAAAAGGCATGTCTATTTCTTGGAAACTATGCTCAAATTCAATGCCCACTTCATTCACGTCAGCCGTTCCTTCAACTTGGTCCTTTTTGTTTCCAACAACTTCTTTGCAATTATTGCCCATATCTCTTTCTACGTCCGGAATGAAGGATAAGGGGTGAATTTCACATTGAGATCAAATATGCTTTACGTGGCCCGGAACCCCATCTACTTCAACAACTTGTTCCGACCCATCTTTGGTTACTGTTGCTAGCTTCCACTTGGTATAGCACTTTGCATTGGGTGGTTTCAACCAAACTTTATCACCTGCTCCAAATATTTTATTTCTCCATTGGTTGTACCAATATACTGCTTCCGGTATTGATATCTTAGATCTCTAAGCTGTTCTTTTTATTGTACGATGGTTCCACAATTCCGTTCCCCTCAGGGTAATAAGTGGTTCCAAATGTGATACATACTCCTTAAATTTCAAGGAAATTCCTCATTTCTTCAGTCTTAAACGTTCCCTCATTACCTGCTAATATTTCGGATGGCGTTCCTTGTTTACAAAAGATAAGATGACAAATTTGAACTATGGCAACACTTCCGTATGAACTTGACAGTTGTCGCCACAAATCGTATCTTGAAGGACCGCAATTGATTTGACTCGTAATATGTAATAATGCGTAATATCCATGACCAATCTTTCCCAATTTTCTTTAACATTCAAGGTACCTTTTGACCACTGTACAGTTGCTGGATCTATTGACTGACACGGCTTGCAATTTTTTAATACCATTTGAACTTCGTTTTTAATTGCATTTGGAAGTACTTCACGAACAAAGTTGAATGTTTTACTTACTCCAAAATGTCCAGTTTTCTTGCGTATACTCAAGATGGGTTCAGGCTCCGCAACTACTACTCCAATACAATTGTTTAGAAGCTCATTCTCAATCAACTTATTTAACCATATCCTGCAAACTCTCGTTAATGCATCAGCTAAATTATCTTCCGATGGGACAAGATTTACGTCAATTTTCAAATCGTGTTCTTCAATTAGTTGTTGCAGTATGCTTATTCTTCTTCGAATCAGCATTTCACCAGTAACTTTTTACTTCAACCTTGATTTTCCAGTTAGTGCGTCAGGAATCCAGTGGAATACTGTTGCAGAGTCTGCAAAATTCGTCATTTTTTTCCAGCTCCCACGTTAAAGCCATATTCATTCCTCGTAGCACCACGTGTAACTCTGCCATGTCTATATGAACGTCCAACTTTTCTTTTCGCAGCCATATTGCATCTTTTACAATCGTATTACCAATTTGAACTATTGCATCCATAGCTACAAAACTTGTATCAGCCCACACCTTTCTCTCATTGCTATCTATAGCCCAATATCCACAAACTGGTTTGCAACTTTCAACCTTGTCATAAACTTCTCAAAGTACACATTTTACATTTTCATCACAAATTTTATCGTCCCAGCTCTTCGTCAAACTGACATGACTCTTCATTTCAACAGACTAGAAACAACTTGTAACCAACCACACAAAGGTAAATGACCCAACAACTGTTCGCAAACTAAAAACTTCTTCTGGTTAACGTTTCCGGGATTTCTTCAACTCGATTCCCTCTTGACCACGTCAGTTTGTTCCCAGCTTTGCGTACACATAATCCCAACAGTCGGACCCCATTACCGTCAATCGTTCGCCATCTTTGCTCTCCAAACCATATTTTTCAAAATGTCTTGACATAATCTAAACTCACCACTTTCTCGTTGATAAAGATGTCATCCACGTAAGCAGACGTTCCTTTCTTAACCAACTCGTCTTGATCAATGATGGCATTCACAATGCCATCATTGATCAAGACGATGCAATCATTGATGCAACGGATTTCATGATCGTCGGCGCAACATTTAAACTAAAACCAAGTCGTGTTAAGCAATATCTCTTGTTGTGAAATACCACTGTTTGAAATGGTCAAAGGTTTTCCTCAGTTTTCAGCTAGAGATAAACTTTACGTATATTCATTATTGCTGGTTTGTTTCCCATTCTTCAATTTGTATACGCCTCAATAAAGTTATAACTTCTCTCCAATCCAAAACAGGCCGGACTTTATTATCTTTGTTTCTTTGTATCACAGCCATTAAAGGAATTTAATGGCTGCGTAAATAAAATTTGTCCTTTGGCGGCCCCATTACGTTTTCGTTATACTCAAGTAACCATTTCCGCTTGATCCAATCCTGAATTTCGTTTTCGTATTCTGTTTCAGCTTGTTTTGGTACCGCGTACTGGGCAACTTTGTTAAACAGTTGGTTAGCTCCATCTTCGTCTCTCCATTTCCATTTGACTCTCCATTCCACACCATTAAAAAAAAATTCATGATCTTTCTTTTTAATTTCAATTTAGTTTACTTCATCTTTGTTTAAAACTGCCAGTCTGCAATAGCTGGATCCAAACTTTGATATCCCTGATGAGGAAATGAAAACTCCTCACAACAATTTAATTGAACTCTTAACAAGCATCATATCAACTCCGAAAGGTTAGAAAATCCACCAAAATAACTCCGTCGCGTATTTTGATATCATCAACCTCGACATTCACAGTCGCGGATCCAATACATTGATGAACATTACGTTTAAAAGCTATCACTTTTTGAGAATTTAAACTTTTATTTTGATTTTTGACACTAAATTGTGATTCAGAATCGTCTTCATATCACCATAGCTGTTGCTAACATGTCATTAACTTTTAAAGGAATAATACATAACGCACTGATTCCATTTTTTTTCAGAAGCGAAGTTGCGCAGATTCTTTGCTCCTGTACTCGTTTCCCTGCATCTTCAAGCACCTTGAAGCCATATTTCCTTCGTCACCACATATAAAACATCAAAAGATTTTCTTCTGAGACAAGTTCTTTGCAAATGAACAGTTTTTTGCAATGTGATGTAACCCTTGGCACTTGTAATACACTCAAGAATTTTTTGTATCTTAATGTTGAAACACAGCGCCAACATCAATGCTGTCATCTATCCTCACGTGGTTCAAATCAGCTCTTACTTTGGGTAAAAAAAACATCAATCAGATCCTTTGTTGCTCGAAATTGTTACGAGAAAGACTTGGATAATCCCTCAACAAATGCCAAACGTACTGTCTCTTCAGAAAACTTCACAAGAAAAACCAATCTTTTTAAATCAGCCAAAAACACATCAACTCTCTCTCTCCATCGTATAACTTCCATTTTGTAAAAAGCTCATATGCACTGTAAACATCTAATGAGAACGCTGCTAGCAGCAATTGCTCAACATCTATTACATCTTGCTTTTCTTCAATGGTTAAAGCTTTATAAACCAAATACGCAGTTTTTTTAAGAAGAATCGGAAAATGTAGCTTTGGTTTTTTGCATCCACACCGCAACATCTGAAATTCCATCATATGTTTTGAA